AGTTTTAATGTACATGACACAATAGAAAGTACAGACGGTATAAAATAATTTATTACGCTGAGACAATTTTAGGCTCGCATGTTGCAGGTCGTTCGGTCAACAAAATTACAAAACACACCATGTCCTTAGTTGCTGGGTAACTTGCCAACTGGAATAGGAGGCACCGACCAAAGACAAGTCAGACTGGGTTTCACCACAGTTGTTGACCACAAGGGGGTTGAGCCACCTCCGTTGGCACCAGTGCCCAATTTCCTGTGTACTTGTGAAGTTAGCTGCATTATAATTTCTCTCTGTTGGTTTATTTTATTCATTTATTTATTTAGGTTTTATTTATGAAAAGAAAAGAAAGTGGTATCATTACAGGACCTGCACAATAAAAACAGGGCATACGCATGTATAATATTTACAAAAACATATTTGATGAATACGAATTGCACACATAAAATAACATAAGAAAAACAGTTTGTGGATACCAAGGTAAATACCTAGAAACTAATTTTATGAATACGAATTTGTAACGTATATGACTGAATAGGCTATTAAATGATTTTAATAATCATGATGGAATATGATACAAAAAAATTAACTAGTTTGGTGTATTTTAATATTATGTCTTATATCATTCTGTCATAATTACGTACGTAAACTTCATGGACATGTAATCATTTTCTTTCTCTCGAACCTTTTAATGTTTCCGGGTGAACTATTATCTAAAATTGACTTACAAGAAAGGGAATCTTTGTGTCCTTCTTACGAAGGCCTTTAGCGCTTTTGGTGTAAATACTCTGATGAAGTCAGCAGTCGATGGAGACACTGTTTCGTCCCATCTTCTTTGCCATTTCTGCATGTAATATAATCTGAGGATACTATTTGATTCAGTAGTTTTTGTTAAATGTCAATTTTAGTATATGTTAAGGCATGTTTGATTGCCTTATTTACCATCTCATTGGCCCGGATCTCGCAGTGGCCTGAAATCCACTCAAAATATATTTGTATTCCGTGGATTTTGTATACAGCATCAATATTTCATGAATTAATTGTTTTTCCTTGTTTTCCAGCGCTTCTATAGCACCAAAAGAGTCGAAGAATATTACTGCTCTTGTATACAGACTTGGTAGTTGGTTTAACCGATATAATAATAATAATAATAGTGGCTGCTGTATAGCGCACAGGTCCATCTTTCGGTGCTCATGGCGCAAGGACAATAGCTGCTAAATCTGCCCTGTACGAAGAATTATTATTTTGTAGCCTTTTTTACTCTAAATAATCATAGTATAGTACGAAAAAGCCGCGGCTGCGTTTCCTGTGTCTGGAAACTTCGAACCATCATTGAATATATGTAATTTATAAGTAAGTACTTTGCCCATTTCTTATTTATTAGTTCTAAACTTCTCTGTCTTTGAAACAAAATACTGTCACATTTAGAAATGAATTGACCGAGTTCCATAGACGATGGAGTTGTTTCATAATGCCAAAAGGGGATGGGGTTGGTGGTAAACTTAATGCAGTAGTTTGTCATTGCTAATTTTTTGTTTGTGCTCAACGGGGGTGGGGGGGGGGTAGTGAGCATTTTATTTGTTACTCAAAACCCCTCCCCCCCCCCTCTTTTTTTCCAGGGGTGGGGCCCCGTCTTTTTTTTTCTTTGTTAATGGCGTTTTTACTACTTTTTCGGCCAGGGGTGTGGGTCCGCTCACGCCCCCCCCCCCTTTAACACAAACAAAACACATAAATGTTTAGTTTACTCATTCAGCAATGTACCATAGAACATCTTAAGGTTCCTTAAGCGGGCCCCACATCGTAAAAGGCTTCGCGCTCGAATTGCACCCCACCCCCCCCCCCCCACCCCTTTGGAAATCTTGGGTCCGTCCCTGACTCTTGGGAGTTACGCTGAGTAAGATTGGGTTGCTGGAAGGTCGTGTTAACTTAATCGTGGCAAGTTGGCCCGAGTAAGAGAGTATGGACAACTAGTGGTGTAAGTCAAATATTTATGGGATGTTTACTGCTGCAGGGATTAACTTACGCCGACTAGGAAGCCCCCATCTAAATATGGCTATTGTCTCCACCTTGGGGGTTTCCCCACTGTATTATAGTACCAGCAAAATAGATCCTGTGCAAAACTACTAGTCCTCGAAAACCAAGTGCAGACTTAAATTTAATAACAGCCCTTGGTTTTAATCCTGTGGGGTGTTTGATCTTAAAATTGATCGGATCACTTTTTAAGGACCCAAACTTTATTTTAAAGATCGAAATCTATCAAAGTTGATTAAACAATCCCCTGGTCTGAATATAGTTCGCATGTCTACAGAAATCAATACTTATTCAGATACAGCTAGGGGTCTTCATTTTAGACCCACATAGTGATTTCAAAGCGTTACTTGACTTACAATGGTTTGCAGTTGCAGAAGTGGGGGGCAGGGGGGGGGGTGACAAAACGCATTTTTGCCCCCTCCAAAAAAGAAGAAGAAAAGCAGTAAAGGAGTAAAGATGATTTTTTTTAACCCAAAATAACTAACAATAATAAAAACCTGAACTAAATCACATATACAATTCCATTCAAAGAAAAGGAAAGTTAACAGGAGTTTAATTTCCTTAACATTCCACATTTATCAATGGAGGTTTTTATAATAGCGATATGCGCATATCGTGGATATATTGTGAGAGGATGGGAAAGCGTGTGCGTTTTTTAGGGGTGAGAAGACATGAGCCCCTGAACGCTGGCGTACTGATGGGGGGGGGGGGTTATTTCTTATTCGATACCAGTGATTTACAAATGTTGCTGAAATGGCATGAATTTCCTGTATTTTTTCTCAATTTTTTTGTAAGTCAGACCTTTTTATGCGTTTGTTGGAAAATTAGAAATTCCCACATTTACAGTCGGGCGAAAAATAAGCTTATTTAGAAGCCTTCATGTCAGGGCCTGCAGAACGGCTGGGCTCAGGGGCTCGAGCCCCCTCACTTTGTGAAAAAGTATGTTACAGAGAAAAAGAAAGAAAGAGAAGGACATTTTAGACCCACATAGTGATTTCAAAGCGTTACTTGACTTACAATGGTTTGCAGTTGCAGAAGTGGGGGGCAGGGGGGGGGTGACAAAACGCATTTTGCCCCCTCCAAAAAAGAAGAAGAAAAGCAGTATTAAAGGAGTAAAGATGATTTTTTTTTTTTTAACCCAAAATAACTAACAATAATAAAAACCTGAACTAAATCACATATACAATTCCATTCAAAGAAAAGGAAAGTTAACAGGAGTTTAATTTCCTTAACATTCCACATTTATCAATGGAGGTTTTTATAATAGCGATATGCGCATATCGTGGATATATTGTGAGAGGATGGGAAAGCGTGTGCGTTTTTTAGGGGTGAGAAGACATGAGCCCCTGAACGCTGGAGTAAAGATGATTTTTTTTTTTTTTTTTTTTTAAAGAGTGACCTGCCAATGTCACAAATGAGGTATCAAAAAATGCTCATCTGACCGTAATTAAAAAATGACTAAAAACCCCGAGCTTCCGGGGCTCTGCCCTCTGAACCCCACCAAGGGCCATAAGGCGGGCCCCTAGATGCTCATCTGACCCCCGTCGGTGCTCAGGCCCTGGACCCCAAGTCAATTGACTCTCTACCTGATCGTTAATACTCCACTTTGAAAAACGTTCCGCGGGGCCTAGAGGTAACGTATAAGAGTGGTGGTGATACAGATTTTTCTTCTCCCCCCCCCCCCCCCACCTTCCAAGCGTTTTTGCAAATAACGCCGCTGTGCCTGGATGGTGAGCCCCTGGAACGTTCCACCCCCCCCCCCAAAAAAAAAATAAATAAAAAAAAATAAATAAAAAATTAAAAAAAATCTCAAACTGCTTCCGGCGCGCCTGTTGATAGCTATCAAGAATTCCTCCATAATTATAAAATTCAATATTCAAAAGGGCCACGGCCACATGGCATAGTATACCCGCTTATTCAAAACACACACACTTTCACCACTGTTGTCGATGTCTTTCATCAAACAATTTATTCAACGATGTCTTTGAGTGCTCTAGCACAGAGAACAACATCATTTTGTCAAAGATCTGAACAAATAAATTCTCTGCTTGATTGTCAAATTGTCACCAATTAATATTTATTTACTCTACATCTACTGAAAAAATAGCACATATTGTTGTTGCTGTTGTTTTTATTTCCGAAATCAGATAAAAATATTATACAAAGTAAAATATTTATACATGTGCATAGACAAAAATCGATGGATAGCCCAATTCAGCAGTGTTTATAGAACACTACTGTTCTTCCTTGGGGTCCTTAATTGAATGAACCGTTGGTGGTATGAACAATGTATGAATGAAACAATAAATTTGACGCAGATTATAGGAAAATAGTGATCTTACGCGACGGTATTGACCAATAATCTATCAATGCTATGCGTATTTATCAGTAATTTTTTTTTTTAACTAGCAAGATGCAATGTCAACCTTACTAAGAGATCCACAAATATATCTCTTTTCAAACTTACCTCACTAACACCGTATATATTGTTACAATATTAATAATGTTTAATCACATTAGGCGGATCTAGGAGTCGAAAAGGCCGCTCGTCCCCCTCTTTCCGACCAAGCGAGTCAGGTAGTAAGAGGTTTTTAACCACATTCCGGATTTTACAATTTAAAAGAAGTGACTAAAACAAACAATCAAAACAAAACAAGTACGTCGTGGCAAAACATGAAAATGTTTCTCCTCCTCTCCCTTAATTCAGATGATGCTGGATCCGCCATTATTTTACACTATCAAATCGTTGGTTAATCTTTACTGTAACAGTACGACTTTTATATTTGAGAAGCGCCTTTAGCAGGCATGATCATGGAATTAATTTCAGCACAAAACATAACAACACAATTATATGACTTATACATAGCAAGAATTTTGAATACAATTCTGAATCACATCATGAATTAATTCAGGTATGAATATAAATGTGAATATGAAAGTAGAATAGGAGCAGCATCAGAATCGAAATACGAGCAGAAAGAGAAAGAAAAAGAGAGCTCAAGCTCGAAGGACTGATAAAAGAGAGAAATATGGGGAGAGTTGGTAAGGGTCCAAAGGGAAAGGGGAGAGATAGAGAAGGAAAGATGGCATAATTTCCAATCAGATTATAATGCATGACAGAAAATACATGGCCATAATAATGTAGAAAAAAATCAGCAGCAGAGCTACACAACGGATGTTTTTGACCCACAAAGGTGATAAGGTGGAAAACTTTCCAACCCAATCCCTACAAATTTATTTTACTGGGTGGGTAGAGAAAAAGTTAACAAATAATCATAATCGCTATTATCGCTATTATTTCGCTTACAGCTGAAAACTTCGTGTTATTTGTGCATTATAGATGTGCATGGAATTTGGAATAAAAGAATTTCTGTATCTGGCTCTATGGGTAATTGGTACACGTAGGCGGATTCCTGAGCGGTTAAAAGTAAAACATGAAAATAGTGGATGTGGTGGGTCTTTCATAATAGAAGTTATTTTAGTCAATAAGCGATCTTCAAACAAAACTGATACGGGTGTTAATTCAATGCTGATAAGACGTTGAGCAATTTTCCTAGGACGTTCGAGTTTAGTTTTGTCTGCTGGTGTGAGATTTCCATAAAAAAACAAATGGGATTGAATAGAAGATCACTTTGAATGATAGACTGATAGAAAAGATGCAAGATCGTCCTGTCAACGTTAATTTGTTTAGCTTCCTAAGAAAAAACATCCGGTGATTAGCTTTACTGTATACAACATTGGTGTTCTTATTATAACGTAACTTATCAAATACATTCCATATAACTAGGTTTTTTAATCTGAATGTCAATATACTTTTGGCAAATCAGTACAATGGTACATAAGTTTCACCTATGGTTCGTTGAAGTTAAGCCCCGATAAATTATGGAAATCAAATTCCTCTATTCCTCAAAGTTTGGTGTTTGATATATATATATATATATATATATAAGCCTAGGCGTAAAACGGACGATAACATTTCAAATGTGCTTATTTATTCTAACAAAGCAAAAAAAAGAAATGTTGAAAAGTAAATGACAGAAGCAAGCTTTCGTGTTAATTGGATATATCGTAAATGGAGTCGAATTGGATATTCTGCCCTGTCAAGGAAGATAATGAATGAAACACTTTTGCAAGGATTTTGGGGGGAAAATCAACCTAAGGCCAAACAAAAATCCAACCTTGTCTATCACCTATGAACATATAGGAACATTACAGTGACGTATTATGTAATCTGAACATGATTTCTATAGGACAAACAATTGGGAAATGAACTTGTTTGTTTTGTTTTATTGTTCCACATTCCACCTAACAAGGTTGTTTCATACATAAGATTTAACAAGCTAATGAATGATAAAAAAAACAATGACAATAACTTAGAGAAATAAGGTGAAACATCGATAACCTGTTAAAGAAGCAAAGCTTGTAGGCCTATTATACTTGATATCTCGAAAGTCATGCCGCCGTTGCTCTGTTACTTTATTCTGGCTAATCGCATGCTCAGGCATTTGGTAATTTCACATGAGAGTAACTGCCATTTGATACCATGTACGCTCTTATCAACCTTGTCCGGGTGATAATGGCTGATGGCTCGGATCAGTAGCTTCTTCTGCGACGACGACGACGATGTTGATGATGAGGTCAAGGAAGGCTGTGTTTCCTTAGTACCCTTAGGAGGCCACGATTGATAGACTTGCTTGACGAAGAGTTCGATGGATAACTTCAAGAGAAGATCTAGTGCTTTGATATCAGTCTTCAGTTGGTCCATCGCAATCTCCTTCTCCTTAGCCTCCGCTAGTTCCCGTTGTTGACGCGCTTGTGCATCTTCAAACATAAACATGCGAGAGAGAGAGAGAGAGAGAGAGAGTGAGAAAGAGGGAGGGGAGAGAGAGAATAGGAATTTAATCCACACATTCATTGATGTAAACTATTTCATCACCGTTTTTATCGTTTCAGTTTCAGTTTGTTTAATTTGTTATTTGCTTTATTATCTTTCGTAACTGTTTCTAGTTGCTCTGAATATGTTCTAATTATATGTGCCTTATTTCATTTAGTATGGGCCTAATACTCACGAATTAATATGTAGCCTACTATCTAGAAATATTAGTAATAACAGCAGCCAACTGCTAATGGAAAATGCGCTATATAACATTGTTATTATTATTATTATTATTATCACCATCATCATCATCATCATCATTATATTTACCTTTTGCTCTGGCTATAGACCTCTTGACAAGGCCTTCATGGTACTCTACATTCTTCTTCAATGCAGTAACATCTAAACGAATGATTGGGTCTACATTATCACACATCTTCTCTGCTTCCCCCAAAGGAACACGACAGTCCTTCAAGTACCTGAATGGTCATGATGAAATATATCAAAGAAAGGTTTAAAGCAATATTATAGTATTAATGACTGCTTTGAGAGAAATAGTTGTTTTTATACGCTCAAGGGAAGGTTAGAATTGTGCTATTGCCCGAGGCGTGCCGAGGGCAATAGCCCAATTGTCATTAATACTTTTATATGCCGAAAACAAGGACACCACCTTGGCCTTTCTCTAGTTTATCTGCACAGTTGTTTTTTATGAGTGTATCTTTGAGAGTAGACTAGATCTAGATTCTAGTCTAAGCAAGATATTTTTACAATTTTGGGGGTGGGCCGGCCCTGTGGGTAATATGGAGAAGAACCTGCGCTTTCATATGACACCTCACTTATTGAGTATCACCTTCAGGATCAAAACAGATAAAGGTTTGAATCTCGAATTGGAAAAAAAAAACTTGACTTTTTTTGCATGGTCGCGCAATGCACGTAGACTGCATAGCGACTGCATTGCGTGCAAACTCTATGGGAAGAATTTTAACACACAACATCGGGTGCGTGATCAGACACCCTGACAACTAGATCTATTTTCGTCTAGAGTCTACGTCTATGCTTTTTCAGCAACTAAACGAACATGTTTATGGATAATTTGGCTATATCGTCATCCGAGTCACTGGGTCACTAAGACGTACCTTATTTTCCACCAATCTTTCTAAAGGATTCACGGTTGGGAGGTTGTCAAAAGAAATCTATTGTCCACGATGCGAAAAGTTGCGAAGTTCACACAGAACATTCTTACATGGGGGATTTCTTTGATTTGATTTGATTTGATTTGATTTATTTATTTCTGTTTGATTTTCTTTTTCTTTGCATTTTTACAAATATATAACAAACAAATATTGCAAATTTACACATGACAAAAGAATATATGTAGAATAAGGTAAGGCTGGGTGTAACTAATCGAGAACATCAAACAGGAGGGTTGACAAAATAAGCAAAGCTTGATAGTATGACTACCCTCAAAGGATACATAATAATACAAATATGGAAGAACAAAATATTGGTAAAAAAGGGGGAAAAGACAGAAAAAAGAAGAGAAAAGAAAGAGGGGATGCACATCAATATTCACAGACTTATGTGGTAGTTGGATTTCAAATTGATATATAAAGATTTTAAATAAGAAAAGAAATGCAAATTTGAATACTGAATACTTTCCACCACACATATTTGAATTGATGCGAAAAATACTGGCTAGGACACTATTTCAAACGACATAAAATTCTGTATTCTTAGTCTATTTTCTATCATTCAGTATGATAAATAATATGACTCAAAACACTATAAAACTGTCTATATATTCATTGTGGTGTAAGTCCCCCTCACGTGTTAAGATCATCAAATTTCTCATAGAGGGGGACTCGGATCACGAGGAGTATATTAGTCGTGGTGTAAGTCCCGTCCTATGGGAAATTTGATGATCTTAACACGTAAGGGGGACTTACACCACGAGGAATATATAGACAGTTTTATAATGTTTTTAGTCATATTCTTTTGATTTATTAATAAACTTTAACAGCGGATATTAATTTAACATCTCTAGGTAACTGTCTGAAAGTGGCAGTGTGGTCTTGAAGAGGAGGGAAATGAGGGGTAGATAATATCAACGGGTTAATTGCCGTCTCGTATTAATTTGGGAGGGGGGACTCGCACCACGAGGAATATATAGACAGTTTAATAGTGTTTTACTTCAATCTTAATATGCCTACTAGATAAATCGACTAAATAAGGCAATAATATCATTTAATAAAATTATAATGAAAGTCATATTTCGTCTTCAATAACCGTTAAAGGCATGATGAAATCAATCAATATAATATTTATTCATTCAGCCTAATTAATGCTTAACTAAATAAATGTGCATTATAGTTTGCTTTATTTAGTGAAGGACTTCTAATACTAGATAAATTGGCTTGATTAAATAAAGCAATAATATAATTTTAAAAATTATAATGAAAGTAAATATTTCTTCTTCAATAACCATTAAAGGCATGATGAAATAAATCAATATAATATTTATATGTTCAGCCTAATTAATGCTTGACTAAATAAATGTGCATTATAGTTTGCTTTATTTAGTGAAGGACTTTTTTTAGGTTTACTAGATAAATTGGCTTGACTAAATAAAGCAATAATATAATTTTAAAAATTATAATGAAAGTAATATTTCGTCTTCAATATCATACAGCCTAATCAGTGCTTGACTAAATAAATGTGAATTATAGTTTGCTTTATTCAGTGAAGGACTTCTAATAGGCCTACTAGATAAATTGGCTTGACTAAATAAAGCAATAATAATCATTACAAAAAATTATAATGAAAGTAATATTTCATCTTCAAAGGTACCATTAAACGCGCGCTTTGGTGGAAACAAATTTGGAAGGTAGGACATGTTTTTCAGATTAAAAAGTGTCTGTGGATCCGAGTCCCTGGGGACTTGGATCACGATAATGCCGATAATTTCACGTAACCTTTTTGTTGTTCTTGCTGTCAGCGAGTCTTGCATTTGATAAGTTGAAATCTTGGGAGAGTTTCTTAAGCCATTTTTGTCTTGTTTGGAATTGTCTTGTCTTGTATGAAAATACCGACCAATTCTTCGCACACGTACGGTATCCTCAATCGCTCAAACCATTTTTTAACATGTAAACCTATGGGGTAACCATGGAGACTGAACTATTTTCCCGGTAACCATGGTTACTGGGATTTTAGAACTGTTTTAACCATGGTTACTGGGAATTTTTACAGAAAAAGTTAAAGTTTATGAATGCAATTTCGACCAATCAGATGGCTGGATTTCTTAAGTGAGGTATATAATCTATTCTATTTTTCTTCGTTTTCCTGATGAATCAAAAGAATATTACATTCGAAATTGGCAATTAGTCAAGGTTTCTAATGATTACATTTTATTAAATTGAAAACATCCTTTTTTCTTAAGAATGAAATTACCAGTAACCTTACATTTCCTGTAAGAGAAAGAAAATATTGCGGTTTGGAAACAATTATTGGAATCAAAAGACGTATATTTTCAATTACCCTTGGCAGTTTTCATATTCGTCGAACTTCAATGCTTCTTTGCCTTTCTTGAAATAGATGGTTGCAATATAAAGATATCCTTCAACTTTGGCGCCACATGAAGGTAGGTATTCCAAGTATTCCGTCAGAGCAACTATCCGATCTGAGAAGAGAACGGTAAAGAAATAATTCTTATCAAGTCATTTATTTGTGTACGTCGTTAACACGATCAGTTGTAAGACTGGTGTCTAGAGTAGAATAAAAATATGAGTATATCAGAAGCGTTAATAATACATGTACATACATTCATTGCATAAAGTACATTATGACAACAAAGAAGGGGAAGCGAGGTAACACGAAGTATGAAAAATATAATGAACAAAAATCATGGCAATTAAAAAAAGAGATGAAAAGATAACCTATGGGGCAGTTCCAGAAAGACTTCATCACAAATCATACCTCGTACTGAAGAAGGAAAATAATTCTAGATGATTATCTAGGAGAGCATATCCCTTATGGAACAATTATGTTACCAGATAGTGAACCACACTGTGTACCACATATTCAAACACAGTGTGGTACACAGCGTGCTATCACATGTGGGCCACATATGATTTTGGGACATGTGGTAACGCTGTGGTATACTATGTGGTACGTAACACAGTGTGGTATACCACAGCGTTATCACACTATGGTACCCACCACATAGTACACCACAGCGTTACCACACGTCCCAAAATCACATGTGGCCCATACTGTGATATCAACCACATAGTCACACTGTGGTATGCGCCACATAGTACACCACAGCGTTACCACACGTCCCAAAATCACATGTGGCCCACATGTGGTAGCTCGCTCTGGGACCAAACACATAAAACCACATAGTCTAACACACTGTGGCATATACCACATAGTCTCATATTGTGGTATCCACCACAAAGTCCATCACACCTTTCAGATGAAAAAAAATAATTAGTAATTTACACTACAAGTAACAATTATACTCCTATTTTACTACTAAATTTTGCCAATGGCAGCAATTAACACAGTATCACTGATTCATCGGCCATTTCCAATGTAAAGGCATTGGTAATAAGTAGGTTTGTTTGTTTCAGCGGGTTTTATACTTTTTCATATACTTGTATTTTATTGAATATATTTTAGCTCATAGTTAAAATTTCCCTAATTCTTTTTAAATTAAATGTAATTTATACAAAGTAGTAACATTTCTTAATAACTGGCATTTTATATTTTGTAGTACTTTCGAAATGAATTGCATGTAACTAAATCATCAGTAATTAAGAAATATGCTTTAAATTCAGATAAATTGTATAAAAACGTAGATCGCACACGCACCCCATATTCATTATGCAAATTAACTGATGTCAACTGGTACAACTGGAGATAAGCCCACAAACTATGTGGATATTACTTTGTGGTAAACCACATGATCGAAAAATCTCCCACTGACAATATAATGTGAACACAGAGTTTACACATAGTGATTCATACCACATTGTGGTAAGTATGTACGACTATGCGAAAGACCACATGATCTGAAAAACCCCAAACTGTGACAATACTGTGATCACAGAGTTTGATCATAGTTAAATGCAAACCACACTGTGATAAATATGTGTCACCCTGTGTTAAATATGACCTATTATGTGGTAAACCAAACCCCACACTGTGACAATACTGTGAGCACAGAGTTTTCACATAATACATATCGCACTACGGTATATATGTGTCACTCTGTGTTAAATATGTACGACTATATGGTAAACCACATGATTTGAACCCCACACTCTGACAATACTGTGAACACATAGTTATTACATGGTTAAGTTCATACCACAATGTGGTAAATATGTGTCACTCTGTGTTAAATATGTACGAATATGTGGTAAACCATATGATTTGAAACCCACACTGTGACAATACTGTGAACACAGAGTTTACACATAGTTCAGTACCGTGACATACCACACTGAGGTATATATGTGTCACTCTGTGTTAAATATTTCACGAATATGTGGTGGACCACATGATCTGAACCCCACACTGTGACAATACTGTGATCACAGAGATAACACATAGTTCAATACATATACCACTGTGTTAATAATATGTGGTACTTTGTGTGTAGTATGTCAGTTTATGTGGATATCATGTGGTAAACCACATGGTTTGAAACTCCACTGTAACAACAATGTGAACACATAATGTCCACACAGTTTACACATAGTTGACTATGTGTGGCAACGCTGTTATTGTTCCATAAGCGATATACCCCGGGAACTCAGGCCCTCAAGCCCTTTCCGAACTCCTTGGACCTCGTTCAGCTATGACGCGGCTTTTTATGATGACGTAAATGTAATGCGTGTCACATTTCTGTAGCTCATAATACAGAGATCAACAAGAAAGTCCTTTGATGCGCGAAGGTGCCATTCATTTACGCATTAAACATAAACTGCGGCGGTTAACCGCGTCATATATTAAGTATATATCTGAACGAGCCATTACTTATCAATTCCTAAACAGGCCAGTGATCTTTTTTTTATTCCTTCCTTAATTCTGTTGATATTGTAAATTTTGATTTATTACAATATGTAATACTGAAAATATGAATGATGTGTATAATACCATCTTCATCCTTAGGTCTGATCCAAGTTCTGATATCATTCAGGCAATCCTGAATTGACTTTTCCAGATGTTTGGCCCATTTTTCTCCTTTGCAGTTTCTTTTGGGGTAAGCTTTGCCGAAGTACTGCAGAGCATCTTTGAAGTATTCGTGAATCACCTGTTTCAAACATTGAAAGAAGGTATTAAGATAACGCATTGGTGTTAGTCAGTGATGTAGCAACATGGAGCATGGGAACCCACCCTCCTCTGTCGAATGGCGAACAAAAGAAAACGCGAGAGGGAAAGAAATGGGAAGAAAATGGGAGAGATGTAACTTGAAAAGAATGCCATTGACCATTCAATATCTGGACCTACGTGTGCATGTATTATGCATTAGTAGGGTCTTTGTGAGTTTCATAGTGGAAATTACATAATGTATATTGTTTCAATTTCACTTTATTAACAATCATGATTATTAACAAATGAAGTAATAGTCATGTATACTAGCATACAGTTGTATAGATACTTCAAAAGAAAGTATATCAAAGTCATATTTTTTATCAACAATGCAGGACTAATACGTCCCATTATTTGTGAAAGAATACGGGTTACACAATGTACATCGATATTAAGAGACACATGACGAGACTAACTCCTATACATCAACAACAAAAACAAATACCTTATCTGAAATGGCCAAGTTTTCATTCGGATTGGAGTACGCTGGCAAACCACGGAATAAAGGACTGGCTTTTTCATTGTTTGTTGATAAAGAAAAAAATGCATTTCGCAATGTCCTCAAACTAAAATTTTCCCTGACATGTCGGTTTATGACCCTCTATGATGGAATGAATCACATATTGTCGGATTTGAGGTGTTTATTGAACAGCAGAACATGATGCCACGCATGAATACGTTGGAAAATCAAAAATCAGAGGGGAACATTATTATAGATTATGTAACAAAGTCTGATTTTAATACCTTTTGGTCAGAAGCACATCCGGTTGCCATTTTAAGCGTTGCTAGTCTCCAACACGTTGTTGCCGCGTTTTTTGCCGCTGATACCAAATCCTCGTCCCTAGACGCCCATTTGTAGGCCTTCTCGTAACAGGCAAGGGCACTCTGGAGAAGAAGAAAAACAAGGGGAAAATCGTATGGAATTATTAAGAACGGATGAACTCGTTGCATATTTTCGACTACAAAAACATCCGTCATAGCTCTGAGGTTGTCGTTCGTTATTGATGTCAAATGTTATGGTCCTTCGAAATTTACCACTGTAAGGATCATTTTGAATTCCGGGGTTTTGCCTTTGATAAATGCTGAGCAAAAGCGTGATATACTGATTCGTAACTCAACACCTTATCTTTGAAAATATGAATTCATTGTAATAAATTCTTCTATATCTTAGTATCTATGACATTTAAATTATCAAAACGGGTTGCAATGAGAATGAAATTAAAAGGCTTTTATGCTGTGACGTCATTAACTAAATGATTATATCGATAGGTGTTACTATTTTCATTTATTTTCCTCAAAAGCAAATTACTCATTCATATTCTATTTCTATTTTAGTTAATCTGAGGGCTGCAAGCACATTGAACTTTATGCTTATGCTGTAGCCCTGTTAGATTATGTTAATTTAATTCACATTGATTATGCTTAAAGCATGTAATTTTTTTTGTTTTATATTTTCTATAATTTTCTTTTTTTATATTTTCTTTAATGTACTGTATATTGGAAAAGGTTATTAATGTAAATGTTTACAAATGCAAATGTCACATTAATGCACCTGGACGTGTATGTTCGAAAAAAAGACAGACAACTGATATAGAAATCAATAAATACCTTGTAACTTATAGATTTGACCATGTCAAATCTTTGGTCTCGAGCCAACCTGAAAAACGTGTTGCCTCTCGCCCTGCTAAAACTTGAGAGAGTAGTTGAAGGGTTCTTCTCAGTGTCTGCCTTAGACGTATTGCCAGAACCTAGCAACAAGCAACAATAAGGGAAAAGTAAAATCATCTTATTCCATAAAAGTTACACTAAAGGAGAAGCATTTAAATCTCATACTTTTCATGTCACTGTGAAGAATATCAAGGACTGTCCCTAAAACTTAATACAAAACTTATGGAGATAAGAGAAAATAAAGTTCTAGTCAAGAAAGTCTGTAAAATGTAAATGCGACCAAAAGCATCTAAAATTATAATTAAAGGGTCAGGAACTCGGAATTTCCTTCATTGGTATTTCGTATGCTCACCTGTAGATTGGCTCTCCTTGGACGCAGTAGTTCCTTTCGTCTGTTGCTTGGCATTATTGAGTAACTCATCGGTAGTAGTTCCTTTCGTTGATTTGACGTGGTCAGCATTGGTTTCTTTCAAATCCCCAGCAGGTTTGGCACTCCTACCATCACCAGGAACACTTCTTGTGGGCATCTGCTGCTTACTGGCCCCAGAGCCGAAAGACTCCCTGCTGGTGTTCTTCAACGGAACACCGAATCGGTTCGATCCATCAGCGTATGAATAGCTGTATGTCGTTGAGCGTTGATCTTGCTGCAGGTTTGGATAAGTGTCAGTTTTGTTCGCACCGGTATTATAGGTAGTGTAGGTGGTGTTCTGTGTTCCCTTGCTACTTCCTTCCGACGAGACACCTGTGCGATAAGGGGAGTCAACGTGGAAAGGATTCTTGCGGATATCATCTTCTTTCTTGGTATCAAAAGAGAAATATGTACGTGGAGCAGGTTTTGGTTTCGGTATCGCGTCAGGATTTTTTCCCTCAGTATCTGACTTATTGGTGTTGGTATCAGTTCTCCTGCTGCCTCCCTGAGACGACGCACCATTTCGCGGGAATGAAGCTCCAGTGCCTAAGGGATTCTTGTTGATATCAGCTCCTTTCTTAGGATCACTTGAAGTTTTTGAGTGATCGAAAAAAGAATAAGGTTTTCCGGTTGTGCCTGTAGTTGGTTGTGGATTTGACTCCGTACCAGTGCTTCCCCGTTGTGTCCTTTGAAACGAGAAACTAGACTGCGGATATGTGAATTCAGATCCATTCCGATTGGTCTGGAATGCAGTCCGCTGCGAGTCAAAATCTGCAAAAGATTTACTGGCATTATCCGTTTTCATGTTTACATTTGCTGTATCGTTCTCCTCCTTGCTGCTGTTATGATAATCATTACATGACTTGCAAAAGAACTTGAACTCAGGGCTATTTTCTTTGACACCTGTTTGTCCTTGTTGATAAGTTTGCTTGCTCCCTCGACTGCTGCTTCGCGTTCTCCAGGTTGAACCATTGGACGATCTGATATGCGATCTTGATGAATCATCACTCTCGTAATCATCACTGTCTCTTCGTCGGTGACCACCTCTTTCACCACTACGTTGTCCTCGACCTCGTCCTCGTCCTCGTTGCCTTCGACTGTCCGTATTTCCTACGCCGTTTCCTACACCATTTCCAGATTCTTTTCTTTGGTAAAGATTGTCAGTATCGTCCGAGTCAGAAATGTCCACATCCTGATTCAAAATGCGAACCGATTCTGCCCTGTACCCTTTCGGAGCTAGAAACAAATTATATGTCACCTCATCTCCAACTCGTATTGGGTCACCCCGTCGTCGAATATTTTTTGAAACAGCAGAGATGTGGAAAAATACATCCCGATATGTAATATCCTCCGTTATGAACCCATAGCCACCTGTGTCATTATACCGCTTTACTACTCCAGTGACATCCGATTCTATGAATTTTTTAGAATTACGATTACTCTTCTTTCTGCCTTGTGACATGGTGATGTTTCTGCTTCAAGATAAATCTAATAGATCCCTGTTTTCCTCAAGTATGCAGATAAAGAATAATATCACTATACAGCATGAAGACCGCCGGGTCGTATTTCATCAAAAAGAGGAATACAATGTAAAAGATTGACAAGGAAGTATAGATCTCTTTCTTGTCGTAGCAGAATATAGTATTGATCTGAATGTGTTTCCAAAAATGAAATATACAAACATGACAAATAGAGCATTTGCTTCACGTATTGCGCAGGACAGTAGCGTACGCAGGATTTTTTCAGGAGGGGGGGGGGGGGGGTTTAAATTTTTTTTAATGGGGCTGAAATTTTCGCAACGACTGAGCCAGCCGCAGAATAAGCGGGGGGGGGGGGTAAAAGGACATATTTTTTTTTGTTTTTTGGTACCAAAAATTTCGCAACGACTCAGCCAGCCGCTGAACAATCGGGGGGGGGGGGGGAGGGGGTAAGAGGGTATATATATATATATATATATATTTATTTATTTTTGGTCCCAAAATTTGAAGAATTTGCCTGATCGACATTTCGTTCCGTACGGAGGGGGGGGGGGGGGAGGTCACCTATTTTAGGTCACCACTTAGCATAATTGTTATTTCATAGACTTTAATAAAAAAAAAAAATTTAAAAAAATTTAAAAAAAAAGGGGGGTTCCTAAAAAAAAACATTAAAAAAGAGGGGGGTTAACCCCCCCCCCCCCTCCCCCTGCGTACGCCCCTGGTGCAGGATATAAGGATTTTGGGAAAACCCGCTATTGTCCATATCAGATTACTATAGACTATAATGTACTCTAATAAAGGACAACGGGTTTTCCCAAAGTCAACCACTAGTTTGCAGCTACAGACCCTTGTAAGTCGTAACTACATAGAGTCGGAACTATTCGAGTTGTAGACTACTCAAAGAAAGGTCACCTAACTTTGGCACTTACCTACTTGTAGGCTGTTGTGCGTGCGCACACCTCCAGATTTGTTTAAGTTTTGTTATAATATATATGAATAACATGTACAATTGACTTATAAATTTTGTTTATGTACGTCTCGAAAAATGAAATGGAAGCTCTTATTACCGATCATGTAAAAGAATATTGTTTTGACTAATACGTGGTGATACAAATTTTGCCGGGAAACCGCCTACTAATGGATATAATTATTATTTGGTAAATTAACATATCGATCCGGCCTGGTTAGATATCGCGAATATACTTCAACATTGAACATTTGGGCATATATTTCTGTTTTGGGGGAATTTAGATTAAAGTATTGCCATCTAAGCCTCTGAAGGCAATATTTAAAGGCCGGCTGTACTAGTTCAGCCAGAAGGGATTAGACCACCTAGCTAGCCAGCGAGGTCTCTCTGACAGGTGGCTATCTGATTAACTCAGCTCTCAATTAACATAAGAAACAGAGGATCTTGGGGGACCAACAAGCACCGATTGGGGAAGTTTTCTATATATATAGAGGGAGCAAGTATAACTACAAGTAGGATAGTGTGGCTTTAAACAATATTGAATGGATATTTTGCACCCAAAACCCTTGAACCACAATTTACCACTACCGGTCTATACCTTTAAGTTTAATGTTGTTGCTCAGTTATATATACTGCAAATGAGTTTTTGTTTAAGTATGTTTATGTAAAAGCAATTAATATTGAAAACGTTTATTTATTTTATTCAATTGTAGGATTTTGCTTGAATTACACATTTGGAGGAATAAAACAAAGTTACAAAAAAAATATATAAAAAGTGTATGTGAGTGCGTAATTGGGTTTTTCTCACTATTAAAATATTGGCAACAGTAGTGAGGAATGAGGAGGTCATTAAAGGCGTTACTGGAGGAATTGAAGTCAAATACGTTTTATATGCAGATGATATAACAATATATTTGTTAGCAATAAAAAAAATCTGTAGAAAGAGTAAAGGAGATTTTGATGTTGTTTAAGAAAATACGTGGTTTACGCTTTAATGCGGAAAAAATAATATGAAATCGGGAAAAAACAGAAATCAATCAGAAAGACTTCCCTTTGGGAAATTGGTTAAAGAAATTAAGATTTTGGGAGTATATTTTGCGTTAGAGGTCATAATAAGATGATAGTTGAATTATAAGGAGGTTTTAAGCAAGATTAAAAGACTTCTCGAATGTTGGAAACAGAGGGACCTCACGGTGTTTTTTTTTTTTTAATTAAAAACATATGCATTATGTAAATTAAATTACGTTTTTGCTTCACTAGTGGTTCCATAGTGGGTCACATCGGAAATACAGAAAATATGCTTTGAATTTATTTGGAATGGGAAAGATCGAATTAAGAGATTAATGTTGTATCAAGGTTATGATGAAGGGGGTTACGAATTACTAATTTTGTAAAAACTCAATGTGTAATGTTGGTGAAAAGACTATTTTACGGAGAAAAATCAATGAGATTGAAGCTATACTTTGATTTATGCTTCAAGATGGTATAGGAGGTAGATTTATTTTCTTGTGTAACTATGATTCCGAATTATTAAGTTTCAAAGTACCTAAGTTCTATTAAGGTGAAATTCAAAGAAAATCACAAATATGTCAACTAATGTATCACTAGAAACTGGTAAGCTAACAGATGGCCATCGTACAAGTTTTAGGTCAACTACATATCGGGTGATTTATAAAAATACAAATACAACCACCTCCATAGCAGCTGGGATATACGAGAGATTCGCAGGAAAAATAACGATGTTTTAATGACGTCACTATATGGACCAATACTGCTCAAGCAGACGACATCCCATAAAGAATGAACATAACTCCAAAGCTATTATTTGTCAAATTATAATGAGTTTAGTGTATATAAATGTAATGGCATGTCAAACCATTCAAAAGGGGATATGACCCGATTCTGATAACTAAAATCTTTTGCTTGTTAATACACAGGATAGGGGTTAATTAACAATCAAAGAAACCAGACTTTCATATTGAACCCCCCCCCCCCCCCCCCGGAATGATATTAAGGACGGCATTTGTTCCCTCTTGAAACGCCGAACATACCGCGGTGTGTGCAGCTGAATATAGTTTTACAATGGCGTCTTATTTTGTTTACAAGCGACAGATTCCTTAATTTTTGTATCGCTGCATTTGTCATCAAAATAAAACCATGCGCGGGGTTTAGAGTGAGGCAATAAATTATACATTTAGCCTGACGGTAGTGAAGTAAGAGAAAGAACTCAAGAGAAGATGGTTGTAGAAAGAATAATCCAATTGTTTTTAACAATGATTTTT